CCCCCCAAGGAGCGCGGTGGGGGCCAAACCACCCGCTCCGCGGCCGGCCGGGAGAGACCCGCCTGCTGCGAGGTGGGGACAGGCCGGCCTCAGCCCTCAGGCCCAAAAGACCAAATTAAAAAAAAGAAGAAAAACAAACCTAAAAAGCACCTAGGTAACGGTTTGCGTCTCGCCACAGACTCGGTCTGCGCACCAGCCACCTTTTCGGTAGTCGTTTTGAGTAATTCCACGCGACTCCAGAAGGAAGAGTTGGGGTGACCCCTGCAGCAGCAGGACCTCGGCGGCAGATGGATCCCCGGGACCCGGCCGTAACGGGACATCACCACGACCGGGCTACGGCCACGAACCTCCTCCCGCTGCCTTCCAGGAGAAGCCAGGAACCCCAGAGCAAATACTAAGAACGACTACAGCTGTATTAGCAAACAGCATTTATGACAGAACGCTCTTGTATACATCAATCTTTATAACAATACTGAACGCGTTTATACGTTTGATTTTTTATCAGAAAATTGTTTGTTCTTCCCAGCTTTATTCCTAGGAAGAGTTCTTAGTCTTTTCGGTTTAGTGCTCTTCTTTAACGGGACTGCTTTTTCACCAACAAATGTATCATTAGAGCACCCCTTGTTTTTTAATGTGGTATCGACTCTGTCCTTAGGAGCACGAGACTGATCTGCACTTTTCTGTGGTGCTTTCCACTTCTCTCCACAGCGCTTCACTCGTATCTTTCTTCCCATCAGAACAGTCTCATTGAGTTTCAGAGCAAGATGTACAGCATCCGTATTCTGCAAGAACAGGCATTCCGTTTAAAAGCAGCGTCACTTCCAATCGATTGCTTTCAAATAAACAGTCACCTTTCTTTAATTGTTGTAAGCAAGATTTTACAAAAAAGAGCGTGCAAACTGCTCTATTTATCAAGTGACACAACTGCTCTGCTCTCCTCAGAAACACTAGCACACCCATGTAGCCCATGCACCGAGGCACAGATACTTGAAAACGGGCTACAGAACAGCTTATGTGAGACGTGAAAGACAGGGGCAGAGAGGTGAAGGAGAAACCGGGGACAAAAAGGTATTGGGCTGCAGGAAATAAACTAAGGAAGACGAGGCTGGGAGACTGGCATGAGAAAGCAAGCTGTACTGAAACCCAAACAGAGAGCAGCAGTAAGCAAACTGGCTGCAGGGAAGAATTCCACTCATATTTTGACACATAAGAAATGGGAGAACATTGTAGTTATTCCAGGCGAACTCATCTGTCCCTCCTTTAAGCCTTTCCCTTAAAGTTAATTTCTTTCACCCCAACATTTTACAACTTTTCTTTGTACACAACCTAAAATAGCTTGCTTTGTATCTGCTTCCACAGAACTGGTCTTCCAAGCTGCTTTTAGCACACATAACAATGCTACCATTTAATGTCATATGCAAATCCCCAAAAGCGACTAAAAAAAAAAAAAAATTTAAAAGGCTATAAAGGCAAATCCCAATCCAGATTTTGAAGAATTCCCAGTGTCCTGAAGCACGCCATTCATACGTACCTCAAAGAGAACGTAGCCGAAGCCTTTACCCAAGCCGGTCTTTCTGTCTCTCACAATTCGCACTGCTACTACACCTCCGCAGACAGAAAAGTGTTCTCGCACAGCATCGTCACTGATGTCTGCAGGCAAGCACAAAGAAACAGATGCCTCTTCAGTCACGACACACAGCTTTACAAGCCTGGCCCAAATCCAAGTATTTTATATTTACTAGTTCAGGTACAGAAACATATATATTTAAAAATATACATTAATACATAAATATGTACAGGTACACAAATATCAGTGGTTCAGAAAAATTCTAGCCAGTTAACAATGCAGACTTTATAAAGGGCTATTTACTTTGACAGTTACTGATTCACTAAATTTGAAGAGCACAACATAAATCACAAAGAAGAACAAAGGCAAAGACCAATATAAATTTTTGAAATAATTTCATTTGTGCTTTGAACATGGTGGACATTAAGGTTCATGCTACATTTTTGTAGCTCCTCCTTATGCCAGAATCTCTTTCTAAGAATTAATGCTGATGGTAATGAGCTTGACCAGGCAGTTCTCGGGGTCCAACACTCATTGACTGAGCCGTGAATTTTAGCTGAATGGGGGAGAAGGGGTATACAGTTTCCAGCCACAGTTGCTATAAGATTATTTTGATAATGGCTACATCTGTGAGGCTTTCTCAGTCTCAGGCCTTTGTGAACAGATAAGTGTGATGTACCAATACAAAAATACAGGTTATTCTCTTTTCTGTATAGGTACGCTTCATAATACAGTAAATCCCTTTACACTGATATAATTGTATCTCTGCTAAGGGGAGGGGCTGAATTTAATAGTACAGGTTTAATTACAGCAATAGGACTTAGATGTGCTGAGAAAGGTTCGAGCTGCTGACGACATTTTTCAGAGCACCGCAAACATCCAGACTGTTTTTTCTGCAGGACTCACAAAGGAACATACAGTACTGACACAAGCTCTACACAACAGGCACCACAATCAGGCTTGTCACCTATCCAGATTATCAGGCAGGTCAAGTATTTAGGCTGAAGTATAAAGCCTGTTTGTTTCAGCGTTACCGTCAGCAGTACATGATACTGGCTCTGCGTCAGGCCGTAGGCACAGGGCATGCCTTCAGCCTGTATACTCAGGCATCCGCACCACCCCCAAGTAAGGTGCTCATCCCAAGCATCCCAACTCCATTAATACCCTCATACGGACCACACCAGATGGCGATCCCTTCATCTACTCTCCAGTCTACTCAGAAGCTGCTGAATATTCATCAAGCACTGACCTCAACTATACAGTAAGCACCTCCACACGGGTAACAACTGATTGCCAATAGCTGCCTGGAGAGAGTCACTCACTCTGTGGCTCACAGACAGCATCAAAATGAGAAGCCATCACTGTGTTATCACTTGGAAGTTGTTCACAAACAGGCAACCGTACACATTTAACAGTTCAGAAAGCTATGGCCTATGCAGTTTAGTCATATTTATTTAAAAAACATCAAGCGACAACAAGAACTAAAAAGGCTTGCAGTTCTAGCTACAATTAAGAAAACGATCTGCAGAACTTGCCAGAAATTTACAACCCCCTTAGGTGTTTCAGTTAAAAAATAAAACTCCTGTTTAAAAAATTAATTTCAGCAAGATATTTAGCTACCTAAACATGCTACCCTAAATATCAATAAATAAAAAAACCCTAATGTCAACATATTCCATAAATGTTAAGTAATGATGCATAACAATCCATTTCAGACTTACCATATGAGAGATTTCCCAAGAATACGGATCGTTTATTGTCATGCTAAAGAAAACAAGAAGTACAAGACAGTAAGTTATTTGCTACAGAAAAAAAACCCAAACAACCCGCCCCCCCCCAAAAAAAAACCCCGGAAAACAGGTTTTCTAGTCACGCATCCTACTTACCGAATTGGTTTTTGATGCAATGTCAACTCTGATGTGAAATCCACTAGCAATTTCTGTTCCATTTCTTTTGTAGCCAAAAGCAAAAAGTTTTAAAAATGAAATGGATAAGCGTTAGTTAGTTTACAATGTCACTGCATAGCACTATTCCAAAAGCAAATTTACTTTAAGTTTGAAAAAACATTTCCTTCTGATTCAAGCAAAAGAGAGGAGGTAGTTTAAATTTATCTGTAAATCTACCCCTTCAACATGGAATGAGGAACAAAACTGAGACTTACTCATTTAGAGCCTTAATGGCATCACATTCTTCCTTAAATACAACATAAGCGTTAACGAACTTCGCATTAGGGTGCACCTTATGCCTGGAACATGAAAAAGACACATATTGTTTAAATAATTCGGATGGTGTGCAGTGTACAAGCACTTCTTGTTAAGACACATTTATGCCTCCTCTGGTTTTGTGCACAGTAACAACTTCCTTTCTCTTAAAGGTCAAGCCAGCCCCTTACATCCAAGGGAGTCTCACTGTACTTCTCACACAGCCTGTATTTGCACCCTCATCAAGCTTCTTCAGCTCATAAATATATCCAAAGAAGTTAAAGACCATTAGCATCTTCCTCCTTCCTAAAATAGAAGAAATGCAACCTAAGATAACTAGTACTGGTACTAGTATACCAGGCACATAATTCTTTTTCGCTTGTCAAGAAAACTTAGATATACACAAAGGTAATTACAAAAGTCAAAGAAACACAAAACAAAAAAAAAGAATATACCCAAACATGTAACAACCAACACTTAAAAATTATTTTTGCCTTGAAAAATAAAGATGAAATTCACAAGAGGAACCTACTTTATTGCTGCTAACTTTTTGGATAAGGTATCTTCTGCTGGAACCTTTAAGATAAAAAGAGCTTTAGTTAAGGAGGCCTAGTGTCAATTTATCTCAAGTATTTGTTCTTGAAGACAAAGAGGAATTTAAACAGGTACCATTCCCACCCAAAGCAATGTAGCCAGTACAGTGAGCAAATGACGGAAGTGGCTATTCCTAGAGATGGTCTAGAAAGACCTCAGAATGCGAGAGCTTGCTTTGACTTCATCTGTTACCTTTCTTGAGTTCCCAGACTGTTATCTTCAACTATTTTACAGAGTATGCTGATTTACAATCAACAGGTCTTTGCTACTATGATTTAAAAAGAGGTAAGTAATACCTTAGCTAAACGAGCAATAATAAAGGCATTCTTCTTGAAGAGAAAATACAGCTCTCATACTATCAACTGCTGCTACAGAAAGAGTAAAACGTGATGAAAGGAAAGATGCATCTGCAGTGCCTCTGTGGCAAGATCTCCAAGGCTTCTTCTAATGGCAAAAAATGCACATCCAAACCCGCTTCTGAACTAATGAAGATACAAGCCTTATGAATACTACCCTTTAAGGTCAAAAAATAATTTTGTTATATAGCATTAGAAGAAATAACATACCAAAGACCGGAATCGAATGGATTTTATTTGTCCATACTCTTTAAAAAGAGACTTCAGTGCCTAAACAGAAAATATTACAAATATTCAATACATTTTTGCATCCTGGTAGTAAGAATTACTGCTGAATATTTATTAGTAAGATTGTTTTTACGCTATTTTCATTTTACTTACACAAGGTCCGTTAAAAGGCTACTAAAAATACGCAAGTAATTTGTAACTGCTTCTATGTTTCTTGCAGCAGCTTCTTATTCTACGGATTGCCAAAACTGGATTTGTACCCCTTACTATGGGAAAAAGTATAAATCTAACATTTTTTATGCAACAATCTGAAGTATTATTTGCATTCAAAATCAGAAGCAGGCTAACTTTGTAATTGTAGTTCTCATTTATTAAGTCATTTTTCACTGAAAAAGAAACTAACCAATTCTACTAAAGAAAGAGCAACTGCATCCACTGCTGTAAAAAGCCTAACTGTGCTAAAACAAAAGAGATTGCCTCTAAAGGTTTCCGGTAACGAGTATTAACTCTTACTTTCCCAAAAAGCCATTTTAGTCACAAATATGTGTGACTTCTCAGCTATAAACGTCCCCTCAAACTAAGGACTGTTGTAATTCTTTTCATTCCTTTAGCTGACAGAATCCAGTCACATACCTGCACAGTACAGTTGACAGGCAAGTTTCCAACAAACACTGTTCTTCTGTTCACCATTTCATCAGTCACCTTTTTTTCCTTTTGTTGTTTCACAGTAGTGCCTGTATCTGAATTAACAACGCTTTTGGTGATGGCCTGAGAAGCCCTTTTTTTTTGTTTTGCTTTGTTTTGAAGCAGTTTTTGCTCCTCATCTTCATCCGCCTGCTCCAAAGCGCTCTCTCTTTTCAGAAAAAGATAAGCAAATTATAGTTGACAGGGAAAAAAACAGAGTTTTTGAGGTCAAAGAATTGAAGCCTCCAAGATAAATATCTAACTTACATTTTAAATTATTATGTTCAGCGTAAAGTTTCAAACGTTATTTTGCTTATTATGCATTAAACAAACATATCTGACCATTCCGTAACACAGACTTGCTGTCCCCAGGACGTTGCATTTGCTATTTAGTAGTGCTAATAAAGAAAGAATTCAGAATTAAATAATTTGATAGCCTCTAAAATTGAAGGGAAAGAAAAAAACCCCACAAAATCTTTGCACGCTAGAACTAAGGGGAGATTTAGTTCTTCCCAGTATCCAGGACACTCAGGACAAACAATCCTTTGGGATCCATCCGTGCAAAACAAATCTCTACCTATCCAAACCTGCCATAACAGGGCGCAAAACAAGCAGATCTGAAGAAGCCTCTGGAAGGCCACCGACACCAAAACAGCAAACAAGTTTCACCACGCAGTGCCAGAGGGAGGACAAGGCATTAGCCTCGGGCTACGCTCAAGCAAACTTCACTGTACAGAGACGAGCTTCCCGCCTGCGCTGACAGCGCGCGCGCCTCGGTTCAACCCCGAGTATTTGCGAGAACGGACAGTGCAACCGAGCAGTTCGTGTCACGGCGGAGGGCGAGCGTGGTACTGACATCTAACTCTGCCCGGTGCTTTGCTGCTGCTGAAACCGCCTCTGCTCCTGCCACGGCAGGTCTGCCCCGTAAAGCCAACTGCGGTTGGAAAGCATCACCCCGCGCCAGAGAGAACTTTTTGCCTCGATCTACAACCTCCAGGCCTGCCAGCTCTCTAACAGGGCATTTGCATTTCACGGACCTGGAACTTCAAGAAGTTGGAAGTATTTACTACCTTCCGGAGCAAACTGCGGGGAATTTTCACAATCTTCTTAGAAATAACCTCCTTAAACGCGAGGTTCACGACAAACAGTAGAATAGAACTTTATTGTTTCACTAAGCTCGTACTCTTATGCTTAATCTAGATGTCGGTTTTTTGAATCTTACTATGAAAAGGTGTCACCTACTCACCTGTTTGCCAATTTTTTCTCTGCCTTTGAAAGCTCCTTTTTTCTGGCTTTCTTTACTTTTATAGGGGGTTCTTGTGTGACAGACGAGTTCTGGTCTTCCGACACTTCCTCCGCTTCTTCCGTACGCTTTCTTTTCTTATTTTCCTTTAAAAAAACCCCACAGAAACCATCCAACAAAAACTAACTTGAAAACCAAAACTCCAGACCTGCCCGCTCACCGGTGCGCCCACCCCGCTGCCTCCCCCGCCCCCGGCATTTCCAGCCCTGCGGG